AGACGGGGTTTCACCATGTTGACCAGGATGGTCTCGATCTCTTGACCTCGTGATCCACCCGCCTCGGCCTCCCAAAGTGCTGGGATTACAGGCGTGAGCCACCGCGCCCGGCCTTGTATATTTTTCTTAGCCGACCTGAGCCCAGTTTACGTCAAGACTTGGCCTCTTCGTCTCCTCAGCCCAAATGGTCACTTTTTCCCCCATCCCCTCTTCGAAGGAAGCAGAAGGCCTTGGTTCTCCTCACCCTGGACACGGCGTGTGTGCTCAGATTTCCCTGTAAGGCAGCATGGGTTCTTGCCTGCCACTCTGGCCACCTGCTGCCTCCATTGTAGCCCGTGCCTCAGTGAGGTCCTTAAGAGGGCAAGAGGTGACTATTTTTCTAACCATGAGGGAGCCAGGGAATGCCAGCTAGAGACGGGCTTGGGTGGATGCCAGCCGGCCCTTGTGTAGCTATGGTTCAAAGAACAATGTGAAACCACACAGGTTACAAAGTGAATACAGAAAGGTCTCTAGAAGGCTTTGCCTTTTTCTTTTAGCTGGTGGGATGGGGCGAGATTAGAAGATGGGACAAGGAAGGTGGATACTTTGAACTGAACAGACAAGTTTATTTGATTTCTCACAGCTTGTTCTGTGGAAGAGTGTGGGTCCAATTGCTTGTTGTTTTTTCCTGTCCCTGGGAATATCCCTGCCAGCTTTAGCGCCCTGCACACTGCCCTGTTTGCTTCAAAACTTCTTTCCCCAACCTGGCTGACCTCACCATGTCAAGACCTAGTTATGCTTGAGCCGGCATTGGGCTCCAGGTAAGTAAGGTTGCGGCCTGATAACTTGGTCATAATTTATAATCTTTCCCTATTTGGAGAGATGTGGCCAAGAATGTGTGGATGAGCAAGTGTAGTTACCCCTAATGTGACAATGACTTAGCCATAGGGTTACTGTCCTCCTGGTAATTCTGGCTCAGTTGTAGTTTGATTTATTACTTTACCCAACCCTAAAGTTTATTAGTTTGCTGATGGATGATCAAACCTGGTGACCTAGTTCTTCTGAATAACAGGCTTTCGGGAGACTTGGAAAGCAAAAAATCAATATATTAAATTGATGATAAAAGGCAGAACTACCAGGAGGACTGTGTTACTTAGGGCAACTAGTGTGTGTGTGTTTTTTTTTTAACCTCCTTAAAAAATTTGTAGTGGAATCCCATTACAAATCAGAAGGTTGTTCAGTGAATATAACATCAGAGAACATCATCACAAGGTCAGAAGGTCTTAAAGGGGATGTCTTTCAAGCCATAGCTGGCTGATGAATTTCTTTTCCCAACTCAAGTGACCCTCAGCATTTGCATGTTTCTACACACACGTTAAAGGAAATCAATAAACAGTTGGCTTTGCATAATCTCTCACCCCCTTTATTCTTTCCTGCCTTGAAACAGTGGACTGCTGTCACAAAGGCTTTGAAAGGCAGTGTTGGGTCCCCAGTCTGACGGAGTGAAGGTTAATGGCAGAAAAACCACGCCTCTCACAGGGGCTAGGTACTGAGGCTCAAAGGGAAGTCTAGATATCTAAATCTCCTAGAGCATGTGTTGAAAATGCAGATTCCTAGGACTTGCCAAGTGAAATGGAAATAGAATTTCATGACTTGGTGTTTGAGAATCTTTGTTGATAAGTTGGTGATTGTTTTTGGGGGGGCGGTGACAAGGTCTCCGTCCCCAAGGCTGTAGTGCAGTGGCATGGTCATGGCTTATTGTAGCCTCACCTTCCTGAGTTTAAGCAATCCCCCCGCAACATCAACCTCCTGAGTAGCTGGGACTGCAGGCATGTGCCACCATGCCTGGCTAATTTTTTAATTTTTTGTAGAGATGGGGTTCTTTGTTCCCAGACTGGTTTCAAACTCCTGAGTTCCAGGGATCTCCTCCTTTGGATTCCCAGAGTGCCAAATCAACTGGCCCCAAGATGATTTTTCTTTTATTTTTTAATATTTTTCTTTTATTTTTTTTATAAAGACGGTGTTTCACCATGTTGGTCAGGCTGGTCTTGAACTCCCGACCTCAGGTGATCCGCCCGCCTTGGCCTCCAAAGTGCTTGGATTACAGGTGTGAGCCAGTATGCCCGGCCACCAAGATGATTTTTCATCTACAAAGATAAGGGGTAAGGAATGAGTAAGTGAAGAAAAGGCCGAGAGAGGTGGGAAAAGCAGTGGGCCTACTTCTCTTTTCCATTCTTCCCTACCTTCTCACACTCCCAGGATGTCCTTTGCCCTGCATTTCCCTTCCTGCCCCCCTAGTCTGGAGACTGCTCACTCCCAAATCATACTTCCAAGTTCCAGCCCCTTCCTCTCATCATTTCCCCTCCCTATTTCACTATTTTCACCAAAGCAGAAGTCAAAAAATATCATAAATATGACCCTTCCCTCTTCTGAAAAAAAATTTATTATGGAAATTTTCAATCATAGACAAAGTTATGGGGATTAGGATAATAAATCCCCATGTGCCCTTCACCCAGTTTCTGCTCTCAGTGCAATCCTTATCTCATTTTATGTATACACCTACCGACTTCTCCCCAACATATTCTTTTGATGGAGATCCCAGATAGCATAACATTTTATCCATGAATATCTCTGTATCTTTAAGAGAACTTAAAAATATATAATTACAATACCATTATCAAATTTAACATAATTAACAATCCCTGATATCATCAAATATCTAAGCAGCTTTCAAATATTCAGTTGTGTCATAAATATCGTAAGTTTTACTTTTTTACACTTTGGTTGTTTGAATCAGGATCCAAGTAAGATCCAGAAATTGAAATCTGTTGATATGTCTCAGAAAGTCTCTTTTAATCCATAGTTGTCTCCCTCATGTCTCTTTTCCCTTGCAATGTATTTGGAAAACTGTGTTCCTTCTCCTTTTAAAATTGCTCTCAATCCTCTTTTGGTTTTTTCCAGAGCATTTGAGAAAACAACAAAGCTTCTCTCTATTTTAAATAATGAAAGACTCACTGAACAAAGGGAAGCTTTTACACATTTCCATTCCAATTAACTTTGCCTCTGCTCTGAAAATAGGGTGAGCTTTATCCACCGCTGGATCCCCTAGGGTCTGGCATGTAATGGTGGATGTGTATTTATGGAAAAAAGACAGGAGGGTAGTAAGAGAGGTTATTGGAAAAAAAGGCAAAGGGGAAAGCAGAGGAAACTTGGTAGACACTAGATTTCTCTAAGACAGTAGGAAGGAACTTCTTTATTCCATACACTCTTCCCTCTGAAAAGTGCTAGTTTAAGGCCTAGTATGATGGCTCCCAACACTTTAGGAGGCTGAGGCAAGAGAATCGCTTGAGCTCAGGTATTTGAGACCAGCCTGAGCAACACAACAAGACTTGGTCTCTACAAAAATTAAAATTAGTCAGGTGTGGTGGTGTGCACCTGTAATCCTAGCTACTCAGGAGGCTGAGGCAGGAGGATTGTTTGAGCCCAAGATTTCAAGGCTGCAGTGAGCTATGATTGTGTCACTGCACTCCGATCTGGGCAACAGAGCAAGATCTTATCTCTAAAAACAAACAAACAAATGAAATGATATAAAGTCTAAATTTTTACAGGCGCCTCATGATCTGAGCGCTGACTTATCTTGCCAGGCTAACCACTTACCTTCTTAAAATCTTGGTGGCGTCTTTAAATGAAAAAGAAGAGAAAGCCAAATAAAACTAGCTTTTAAAAAATTATAAAAGTATTTGTGAGGCCTGGAGGCCAGGCACGGTGGCTCACACCTGTAATCCTAGTGCTTTGGGAGGCGGAGGTGGGCGGATCACTTGAGGTCAGGAGTTTGAGACAAGCCTGACCAACATGGTGAAACCCCGCCTCTACTAAATACACAAAAATTAGCCAGGTGTCGTGGTGGGCACCTGTAGTCCCATCTGCTCAGGAGGCTGAGGCATGAGAATCACTTGAACCTGGGAGGCGGAGGTTGCAGTGAGCCGAGATTGCGCCACTACACTCCAGCCTGGGTGACAGAGCAAGACCCTGTCTCAAATTAAAAAAAAAAAAAAAAGTAATTTGTGTCTGTGGAGAAAAATTCAAAGTTTATTTTAATTTATTTTTATTTATTTATTTTTACTAGAGACAGAGTCTTGCTATGTTGCCCAGGATGGTCTTGAACTCCTGGTCTCAACAATCCTCCCTTCTCAGCCTGCCAAAGTGCTGGAATTACAGGATTGCACCACTGCATCAGGCAAAATTCAAAGTTTTGAAATAGTAGATAAAGTGAAAAATAAGCATTTGCTTTCCTAGAAGCAACCATACATACCTCCCTGCCTCAAGTATGATTCTAGTCACTATTTCTAGAAGTGAAATATCAGAGTTGTTTGTTTGTTTGTTCTATACCTGTTAGTGACAGAAGTACAGCCATTCTTACATACACTTTGCAAAATTGCCATGCATATGTATGTATATATGTATATGTATATATATATAATATAGCGTGTATAATACTATCTACTAATGCAACAATGTTATATGTACTATTCTGCATCTTTTATTAGTATTGTTTTATTAATATATCTTGGGCATGAGCTCCATTCCTTCTAACTATTGTATATAATTGTCTGTTGTAAAGATGTGCCATTATAGTTTATGTAATAAGTTTTCTGTTGACATTTAGATTTCAGTTTTTGCTACTACAACAAAGCAAAAAAGGGCCTGGTAGACTAATATAGGGGCTTTTTCTCTAACTGAGGTGGGAAGCCACTGGAAATTCTGGCATATAGGAGGGACATGATCTGATTTACAGTTTAACAAGGTCACTTGGGCTGCTCTACACGATTTATACATCCTCACTGGGATCTTCCTTGGCACTGGGTGTTATTTAAATTTCTTACTCTTTGTCAGCTTATAGAAAAAAAAGGTATCTTGCTGTGCCTGAATCATCATTCCTTTGTAAAGTCAGATTTAACACGGGAGTTTTACTTAGTGGGCCGTTTCTCTTACTTAGTCGGGGGCTTGTGAATCGTGCTGGGGCTGTGTGGTTTCCTGCTTCACCGCACTGAAGTCCTCTGAAATAACCTCTCTGACCTTTTCTCTAGGCCCCTGGCACCTCCAGAAGGGCACTTTACTGTAAGAATGAAATCCTGTCTCTGAGCTGCACTCAGTGTAACAAACAAACAAGGTATGGCTAGAACCATATCTGAGACCACATCTCCCTGTCTCAGATATGGTTCTAGCCACTGTCTTGGAAAGATGTGTAATAGGATGTTTGGGGACTTATTTTGCTGTTTTCCACCAGTTACAACTGTACAGCCACTTTTAATCCTATAAACAATATAATATGCACAAATAAAACAATATAAACAGAAGGTCTTAGGCCGTGACATTGTACAGGTTGGACAGAACAAAGTACTCCTCCACAGATTCTCTAGCTGTTACTCTAACAGTAGTTCCATGAGGAAGCTTGTCTTTCCCGGTTTCATAAATGAGGAATCTGAGGAAGAGAGACCTCAGGCTTGCTCCTCGTCAGGCTTGTTACTTTATTAGAGGTTGCAAAGCAGTACCTATAGGTTAAATTGAGCCCTTAGACTCATTTGTTTGCTTCTTAATATTTTTAATTGTTTGACATTGGAGTGCCTATCGGTGGGTCATTTATTATCTGTCCAGACATAGCTCCCAGCACTCCCCAATTACTCAGAAAACCATTGATGTAACTTATTTTTATCTACCCAGGACCTAAAGATATTAAAATTTGCAACCCATCAATGCTTGCTGTTTGCCAGATTTAAAAAAAAAAAAAAAAGAAAGAAAATTTGCAACCCTTTCAAATCGTTTATACTTTCCACTGTACAACTGTAGAGTTAGTTTCAACTCCTGATATAGGCCCAGAAATAAGCCAGCCTTAGCCACAAACCCTCCAAGTCAGATGAAAAGTCTCATTCCCTCTTTTTGTTTTAATAAAACATAGGAAAGGCCCAGAGCTCTGGAGGGCAAGGAGAGGCCTCCTTGCTGTCTTGCCAAACCTCTAATATCTGCATTCCTCACCCCTTTATTTTATTGTGAGGGTCACAGCCAGATCTGCCCCATCTGTTCTTCCATCCTGGTCCAGGAGAGGGTATAAAATGAGGCAGTTCTGTAGAGCAAAGCAGATCAGCTTCCCCTTCTCAGTGGTGCTGGCCATTCTCCAGCCATTTGCTCTCAAAAGATCATGAGCCTTTTGAGTGGGCATTCCCCACTCCATCCATGTGTAGTTCAGAGGCCCCATCTCTGAGCATCTTCCTCACTGGGTTATACTTTTTCAGCCTGTCAACAAATATATTTATTTATTAAATACATTTATTGTGTGCCAGGCACTGTTCTGGGCTCTGGGGATTCAGTGGTAAATAAGACAGGCAAGCTCCCTGTCTTCTTGGAGTTCACCCCCTAGTAAGAGTTGTACACATTAATCAAGGTGATTGCACAAATAAATACACAGTAGAGTGTTGTAACAGTGAAATGTATGGAGACCTGCTGACCCCTCTATCACAGTTTGACTATAATACCTAAAAGCAGAACAACAACAATAGTACGCAGCACTGTTAATATGTTTATAAATTAATCCCCACAACAACCCTATCAACCGGGTGATGTCATTATCATCCTCATTTTACAGGATGAGAGATTTATAGCCACTGAGAAGTTAAATAACTTGTCCACACTCACATGGCTAGTACAGAGGATGCTTTCCTTCTTGGTTGAGCAGCCAAATTTCCTACAGCCTGCTGAATTTCAAAATGTGCCAGAATTCCTTGATAATAAGACAGAAGAAACTGGGTTTACCCCCAGCAGGTAGGATTTAGGTTAGACACCAGGAAGAACTCCTTGACAACATTTATGAACATCTGAGAGAAAGGAATCACTTTTCTGAGGATTTCCTTCTCTCCTGAATTTTTTATATTGAGTAAATAACATTGTAAAAATAGAGGAGTTATTTCAGAAGAAAAGATCCACTCATAATTCTACTTTGTGAATTATGTTCCTTTTTTCATCCTTCTGGGCCAGATTGAGACTGTGCTACACAGTGGCAATGAAAAGAGAAGGAACTAAATTTGGTTCTGCCCACAGCAGCATAAAGGCAAGGACTTATAACTTGCAGACCTCAGGCCCCGGCCCTAGGCTTCCAACATCCAGAGTGACCCCAACATACCCAGAGATGAAGTCAGCTCTTCCACAGTGGGTGGGCACTCCTGTGGGCTTCAGCAGAGGGAGCTGGTGATCTTACTGTCCCAGGCCACTTAATGTGAACCAGGGCAGAGGTGAGGCTGTGAGGGATTACCTGCTATTTCAGATGAAAGTAACCCAAAGCATCATGCACCCAGATACTCTTGGTGGAAAGAGGGAAAGGAGAAAGGGGCAGTCAGTAAATATCAGGCTGAGTTAGCTGACGATTGAAATGGCTTCCACATGCATGGTTAGGCTCACGAGATCCCCACTACCTTACCCCACTCTACTTTGATCAGCTTCAAGTCATGGGCTGGAGGCGTAGGGAGCTCAGGGTGCCAACTCCTCAGGTATCATGGGATGTCCCAGCCTGCTCTGCAGAGATCCATTAGTGCCCTCTGGACCAAGCATTTCCTTTAGGCCTAATAAAATAGATTTCATGTATGAAATGCTTTAAAGTTTGCCTGGTGTTTTCACTATAATCTTTGTTTTTTATTTTGATTCTCACATTCACCTTACAGATAGGTAGGACAGTTATTATTATCCCCACATTTACTTTTAGATTACATTAGAATCACACAGTAGCAAGTCCAGCCAAGTGCTAACTGAGGCCTTCTGATCTCTTAAGCCCCAGGCACTTTCCCTTGGTTTCCTCGGAGAGCCTTCTGAATCTTTCCAAAGCTTTTCAACATTTAAGCACGGAAACCCTAGACCACCTCTCATTCTCATAGCTTAGAAACAGGTTTGAGAAATCTCCCAGGTTCCTCCGTTGACTTTGCGGGCTCAGCGCAAGCCCGTCTGTGTCCCTGGTGGAAGGCCCACTCTCTCAGGCTTGGTCAGACGCACTGGGACCCAGAACTTGTGCAATGCCCTGATAAGCTGCTTAGAGGAGGTTGTATTAGCCACGATCGGATATTCTTCCCCTGAGCTGCCCTTCACACCCGACCCTGCCTTGAATTAGGATTCCGTAGGAGAGCTGGGGGCACAGAATGTTGTGTTCCCTGCTGTCCAGCTTCAGACCCACTCTTTGAGGTCTTGGATTCTGACAAATTTCCAGAGCTGAGAAGATACCCAGATGTCGAGGTCTGAAGGTAAATGATGTAATTAGGTAGGAGGGATCAGCTGGAGTGCCTGCTCAGCTCTGTTACGTAACACAGGATCAGAAAGAGAGAGACCCTCTGAAATTTCTGATGGGGATACGAGTGGACTTGCTATAAAGTATTGAGTTCATGGCAAGGATCAGGGGGCTGCAGGGAGATAGTGGAAAGAAAATTACAGAAATCAGGGACAGAGAAGGAAGTTCACTTATTCTTACTTCTCCTTTTGCTTGTCCCTCTCCTGCTTTTTAAGACAATTATATTTGCATCTCCAGTTAGTGTGGCATGCAAGAAAGAAAGGGGTGTTAGGAGGTGCATGTGCTCAGCTACTCACTAGCTGTACAATATTAAGCAAGTCATATCTCCTCTCTGGACCTCAGTGTGTTCATACCTCAGAAGAGGAGTTGTACCAGATAGATTCCGTGAGTTACTCAGCTCACTGCTAATATATCATATGCAAAACCAATCATTTCCAGTTATTGTTTTGTAGTAATTTGTGAACACTAATTAGAAATTTAATAAATACTTACTTGGGCTGGGTCTTAATGCCCTTCTTTATAAAAGGATTCTTTGAGGGCCTTCCATGTTCTTCCCTCCTTCATTCTTGTATAAAACTAGCCTTTCTGTTCAGTGCTTTTCTTTTTTATTTTTTCTTTGAGACAGAGTCTTGCTCTGTCACCCAGGCTGGAGTGCACTGGCACAGTCTTGATTCACTGCAACCTCCGCCTGCCAGGTGCAAGCAATTCTGTCTCAGCCTCCTGAGTAGCTGGGATTACAGGCATTCACCAACACACCTGGCCAACTTTTGTATTTTTAGTAGAGATGGGGTTTCACCATGTTGGCCAGGCTGGTCTTGAACTCCTGACCTCTAGTGATCTGCCCACCTCAGCCTCCCAAAGTGCTGGGATTGGATTCCAGGAGTGAGCCACCATGCCTGACCTATTCAATGCCTTCCATATGTTTTTACTGTCTCAACATTCCTGTGACACTGTTATTATTAACATTCTAATTTAATTGAAAATATTATAGGCCGAGCAAAGTGGCTCATGCCTATAATCCCAGCACTTTGGGAGGCTGAGGTGGGTAGATCATAAGGTCAGGAGTTCAAGACAAGCGTGGCCAACGTGGTGAAACCCCATCTCTACTAAAGATAAACAATTAGCTGGACATGGTGGTGTGTGCCTGTAATCCCAGCTACTCGGGAGGCTGAGGCAGGAGAATTGCTTGAACCGGGACCCAGGAGGCAGAGGTTGCAGTGAGCCGAGATCATGCCACTGCACTCCAGCCTGGGCTACAGAGTGAGACTCCATCTCAAAAAAAAAAATTATAACATGCTCATGATACAAAGATCAAACTAACAGAATATACAGTGAAAATAAGTTGCCTTCTGACCTTTGATCCTCAGTTTCCCTTCCCTAGATGTCCTTCCAGAGATTACCTTTGCATAACTAATATATATGTTATGCCCATTTCACAGATGAGGCACCAAGGCTCAGCCTGTCCAGGATGACACAGCTGGTAAGCAGCAGAACAGGGAGTCTACTCCATTCCCCAGGATCCTCCCACCATGCCACATTCTTTGGGAAGCTCTATAACATTAACTTTTAAGCCTTGTCCACTCTGGATGGTGGAATTGTTTTGAGTCAGTCCAAAAAAATACATGGAGCCTTAATGTCCCTGGCAGTGCCCTCCACTGCTACGTCTTTTTGTCTATAGCTTAAAACCGTATCTCCCTATCTCCTTCCTGCCTTTGGTGAGGTGAGAGCTGTGGCCTAGCACCAACTGTGGATGACTGAGCTCCCAGCATCTTAGGCTTGGACTTGAAGAGTACTGGCAGACCTTTTGCTAAGGGCTCAGGGAGGACTTGGTAGACTCCACAGAGCACCCAAGCCCCAGCTCAGGAACCTGGGCTGCTGTCATGCCTACATAGTACATGGGACCCCTAGGTACTCTTTCTCTTAAGAGCAGGCATTTTCCCCTGGAGCAGGGGGCAGGAGTAGTTTACTTTAGCAGAGACCCAGTACATGACAGTTTTGTGTCCCTGGAGCTTCTGTTACCACTTTTTTTCATATGAGGGTGTTATGGATCTCAGATCTTCTCTTAGTGGTAAATAATCTCTTTTTTTTCCCCATCTAGGTTTGTGGATACCCCCCGGTTGGGCTTCATGGAGAAATCTTCTTTGATCACCAACCTGAATCTCAGAGTAGCCTCCATCTTTTCATGGACAGAATGAGAGGCCTTCTGTAACCAGATATAACTGGCCACTATGAGGAAATTGATCAGGATGGGGCCTCAAGAGAGGCGGTTACTCCGGACAAAGCGGCTTCATTGGAGTCGCCTCCTCTTCCTACTGGGAATATTGATCATTGGTTCTACCTATCAGCACCTTAGGAGACCCCGGGGCCTTTCCTCATTGTGGGCAGCAGTCTCTTCTCATCAGCCTGTAAAACTGGCCAGCCGGGACCTCCCCAGTGAAGAGATTATGATGGTGAGCAGCGACCCTCCAAAACCTAGCTCTGAAATGGGGGGCGAGATGCTGGTACCTCAAGCCTCAGTGGGCAGTGATGAAGCCACTCTGAGCATAACAGTGGATAATATCCCCAATATGCCTAAAAGAATAGCCGAGATGATCTCAACAACCAAGAATATCTACAGCCCAACAGCAGCAGGTACAGAAAGAAGGAAGGAAAACACCCCAACATTCAGTAGAATACTGACTTACTACACACCAACTTCAAGCAGACAAATAGTAAAAAAATATACCCCAAAATCCAGGGGAGAAATGAAGAGCTACAGCCCAACTCAAGTCAGTGAAAAGGTGAAGTACACTCCTTCTCCACATGGTAGAAGAGTAGGCACTTATGCTCCATCCACATTCATGACAATGGACACAAGCCATGTGATCACCCCCAGGACAACAGTGAAGGACAGTGACATTATGGCAACCTATAAAATACTGGAAACCAACTCTCTTAAGAGAATGGAGGAAACCACCCCAACCACTCTCAAGGGAATGGTTCATAGCACCCCACCTTATCTGACACATGAGGTAGAAACAAATGTTTTGACTTCTCCAAGGAACGTCGTGGAAAAAAACAACCTGACTCCCCCCAGAAGAATGGAAAATAACAGCTCAACCCATCCCTGGGGGTTAGTGGGAAAGAACAACCTGATGACTCAGGGAACAGTCCTGGCGCATACCCCAGCCACCTCTGAGGGGCAGGTGACAATAAGCACCATGGCAGGCAGCAGTCCAGCAGAAACCAAAGCCTCCACTGCTGCCCGGAGTGTTAGGAATCCCTCATCCAGGACCAGTGTATCAGCCATCAAAACAGCCCCAGCCACAATCTGGAGGTTGGCAAAGAAACCTTCCACAGCACCCAGTACCTCAGCAACCCCCATGGTCAGGGAAAAGCTGACCACGCAGGTCCATCACTGTGTGGTTGTGAAGCCAACCCCAGCCATGCCCACCACTCTCTCCCCAAGCCTCACAACGGCCCTGCTCCCAGAGGAGCTCAGTCCCAGTCCTTCAGTGCTGCCTTCTAGCTTGCCAGACCTCCACCCCAAGGGAGAGTATCCCCCAGATTTGTTCAGTGTGGAGGAGCGGCGGCAGGGCTGGGTGGTCCTGCACATTTTCGGCATGATGTATGTGTTTGTGGCCTTGGCCATTGTTTGTGACGAGTACTTCGTTCCAGCCCTGGGTGTCATCACAGACAAGCTGCAGATCTCCGAGGATGTGGCAGGCGCCACATTCATGGCTGCTGGAGGCTCTGCCCCTGAGCTCTTCACGTCCCTCATCGGTGTCTTCATTTCCCACAGCAACGTGGGCATCGGTACCATTGTGGGCTCTGCTGTGTTCAACATTCTCTTTGTCATTGGCACTTGTTCCCTCTTCTCCCGAGAGATCCTCCACCTCACCTGGTGGCCCTTATTCCGTGATGTCTCCTTCTACATCCTTGACCTGATAATGCTCATCCTCTTCTTCCTGGACAGCCTCATTGCCTGGTGGGAGAGCCTGTTGCTGCTGCTGGCCTATGCCTTCTATGTGTTCACCATGAAGTGGAACAAGCAAATTGAGGTCTGGGTGAAGGAGCAGCTCAGCAGGAGGTCAGCGGCCAAGGTCACGGCCTTAGGAAACCTCAGCAAGGTAAGGACAAATTGGCTCAGGCTTCTCTAACCTCTTTGAGATGAAAAGATTTGGCGAAGCCAGGGAGTGAAGAGGTATTGGATCAGACCTCAAGAGGTGAATGCTCTGGTTCCTTTACTATTTATTCAACATTTATAAAGTACCTATTCTCTGCCAGGCACTATGCTAGGGCCTTTGTAAGCATGACATTGGCTCAACCCTAATCACCCTATAAACTGGTTATATTATGATCCGCATTTGCAGGAGAAGAAACCGAAGCCTAAAGAAGTTAAACCACATGTTCAAGGTCACACAGCAAATAGGCAGTACAGCCAAGATTTGAACTCAGGTTGTCGTGACCAGGTGTTTGGAAATGACATTTGAGTTGGGCTTTGGAGAATGTCCAAGAAGATGCCAGGCAGGGAAAAATGATAATCTCTTCCATGTGCATGGCGTTCAGGTTTAGCTAGCACCCTCATTTTCATTTAACCCTGTTAGTTCACATTCCAGACTTGGAGGGGCTGACGGCTGGGATGGTGTCTGAGAAGAAGGAGACTTTTAAATTTTTGTTTTGTGTTGGAAAATATCAGAGAGGATGGGAGCTCTACTCATGCACTGGCAAGCTAGCCCTAGGGGCAGAGCCATCTCTCTGTGCTTACTGGAGACCGGACACCAGGAGCACCAATCCTGGGGCTTTTTCCCGACTCATAAGTTCCTATCCAAGAACTTCTCTGCCTGCTTGAGGGGCCTTCCTATTAAATTAATTGGATGATTCAATAACCTGGAAGATTATTAACTGCAGAAGTGATCTCTGAAAATTCATTCCCAAATTTTTTTTTTTTTTTTTTTTTTTTTTTTTTTTTTTTTTTGATACGGCGTTTCACTCATGTTACCCAGGCTGGAGTGCGATGGCGCGATCTCGGCTCACCGCAACCTCCGCCTCCTGGGTTCAGGCAATTCTCCTGCCTCAGCCTCCTGAGTAGCTGGGATTACAGGCACGCGCCACCATGCCCAGCTAGTTTTTTGTATTTTTGGTAGAGATGGGGTTTCACCATGTTGACCAGGATGGTCTCGATCTCTTGACCTTGTGATCCACCCGCCTCGGCCTCCCAAAGTGCTGGGATTACAGGGTTGAGCCACCGCGCCCGGCCAATTTTTTGTTTTTTTTTTTGGGTTGGGAGTGACTGGGACTACAGGCACATACCACCACACTTGGATCATTCCCAGTTTTTTGTTCCTTGAGTCTCTAAAGTGAGGGTACCATAGGGAGCACAGACCCCACTTCTCTCCTCCTCCTAAAGCATGAGTTTGGGTAAGGGTTGGCTCACAGCCTGCCTATTCCAGGTCTCAGAGAAGCTGCTGGTGTGAGCAGAATTTTGCATGGAGTTGATGGACTTAGCTACCTAATCCAGAGCAGTTTTGATGAGTGAGCAGGATGGAGACCAAACTCAGCAACGTGTCTGTGAGATACATGAGGCAAGGGAGATTAAATGCATTTCCTTTGGATTTTTTAGATAACATTGTTGTTCTGGCCAAAGCATAGAACAGAGAGCCAGGAAACCTAGGTTCTAATCTGATTCTGCCTCTAGTGAATTATGTCACCATAGACAGGTCCTTTGCCCTCTCTAGGAGAAATGGCAGAGTCCAACTAATCACTGAAAGGTGCTGTCTAACTCTAACATCGTATGATAATGTCCTGCATCTAAGTGAGTTCAGTTCTGTCAGGACCCAGCACAATGGTTATTTGTCTGATCTGGTCAACTGAGCTCCTATTGTGTCATTTGCAGATGGTCCAAAAAGGAGGAATATCCTTCCCAGGGTCATAAAGCCAGCAGATATTAGAACTGGAATGGGAACCCAGTCTCCTAACTCCTCATTCAGTGCTATTTCCCACCAGACTATCCATCATGAAGCCAAAGGCTTAAAAAAGAAAGAGAGGCTTAGAGCATTACATAATTTAATACGAGGAAACAGGAACCTCCCTCCTAATGCAGTTCTTAGGGCAGGTCTTGCTAAGTTCTCAGGGATGGCCATGAAGTCCTGGTATTCTCCTCTGAAGAAGGCGCCTAATACTTTGGTATACAGCAGGCCAGCAGTTTCCAAAGTGCCTCTGACTTGCTTCCCAGTCCCTCATAGTAATTCTGCTTTTATTTAGACTCCACAAACTCTGAACTTTCCATTTGATCTGAGCTAGATCATCAAAGCAAAGCTTACCGGACAAATGAAGCATAATTATGATTTCAAAAGAGAATCAAGGTCTTTAGTAGCAGTTTCTTGCCAACCAGTAAGCACACTGATGCTCTGTTCTTATTTGTTGAAATAGATCCAGTATGGCTTTTTTTTTTTTAAGAGACAGGGTCTCAAAACAAAACGAAACAAAAAAAGAGACAGGGCCTTGTTCTGTTGCCCAGGCTGCAGTGCACTGGTGCACTCATAGCTCACTGCAGCCTAAAACTCCTGGGCTCAAGCAATCTCCACCTCAGCCTCCCTAGTAGCTGAGACTATAGGCATGTGCCACCACGCCCAGCTAATTTTTAATATTTTGTAGGAGGGCCTCACCATGTTGCCCAGACTGGTCTCAAACTCCTGGTCTTAAGTGATCCTCCCGCCTCAGCTTCCCAAGTGCTGAAGTTAGGCATGAACCACCACACCTGGCCCCATTGGCATTTTTTAAATGTCATTACCCCTTCAAAGACACCTTATTTCCCTTTAACCAGATCATCAGTCTGGTCACATCAGTCTTATCACTGCCACTAAATGGGGACATAATTTTTGTATCTCCTAAAGGGCCAAGCCCAGTGTCTTGTTCTGAGAAGAAGTTCCTTAAGTGTTTAGTTCAGTTTCCTCAGGGAACCCTAAAAGTTCCAGAACTCCAGTTTAGTGAGACAAAGGAGTCGGGGTGAGAATCCACGCTTAAGGAGAGCCTATTCCACACATACATTGTCTTAACAATTTCTCATAAAACCTTACAAGAAATGGATTACCTTCATCTTGCAGATGAGGACACTGAGGCTCAGAAAGGACAATTAACTCAGCCAAAGTTACACAGCTACTTGGCGATCCTTGCCATTGATTATGAATCACAGTATCTGGGTTTTAAGCCAGGTTCCACTGCTGACTATTCCCGTTACCCCGGGCAAGACAGTGCAATACAACAAACCATTATTATTAAGTTAAATGGAAGGCTGTGTGGGAAATAAAAAGATTGTATCCAGTAGGGACAAGCCTAGAGAAAATTAACTCCAGTGAAGTGAACCCTGTGCAAAGTGCTATAAAGACACTTTGCTTTTCAAACAGGCCTTGGGTTGCTCATCTGTAAAGTGAATGGATGAGCTATGCAGAAGTTGGCAAAGTTTTTCTCTAAAGGGTCAGACAGTAAATATTTTAGGATTTGTGGGCCATATAGTCTCTGTCACAGCTACTGAACTCTGTCCTTGTAGTGTGAAAGCAGCTACAGATAATAAACTAATTGGAATGGCCACGTGATATTTTACTAAGAGCAACATGCTTGCAGGTGTTCTCCTGCCTGAACAGCTTGGGGACAGAATCAGCAGAGAACAATTTTCTTACTAGATATTCACCCACCTGATGGCTGTTGAGTTTCTGAGCTGGAGGATTTTTCACTTTTTTATTCTGCCCTGAGTATCTAGAATCAGGATAAAAGTGTTTTAGTAGTGATTCTAGTCAGAATTTACTTAAGAATATTCCCAGAAAAAAAAATAAAGGACTTAGTATTGGACATAGACATATAGTAATTATTTTAGAGTCTCACTTTTGACACTGGCTGAAAAAAAATCACAACTAAAACTATTTTGGACAGCACTGTCAGATTGGCATATATTGGTTCGAGGATGCCTTTTATGGCCCCAATAAGGAAATGGGAAATGTTTGCATAGTTATCAACACAGTCTAACTTAGCTCTCTCTCTGAAACTTAGTTTTCAAGTATACTTGGTTTCAAACCCCTTAAATGTATTTGTTCTGGCCAAAAATGATAGATCTCTGACCTGCCTTGACCATGCAGTCACAGAAAGCCAACAGACAGCAAAGTGGAGGCGCTAGGCTGGCTGAAAAGCCTTATTGGTATTTGAAGGACAGCAGGGGCTGTTCTTTATACTTGACTAGATTAGCCAGGAAGCACCAGCCATCTGCACGAGGTGCATGATTAGCAAGACAGTCTTGTGGAAAGCCAATGGCGAAAAGCGGTGCAAAGCAGAGAAAGAGCCTAGTTGGGGCTCCTTTGGATGCTCCATACCCACACTCTTCCCTCTAGAATACTCCTGGGGAAAAGTCCACTATTCCCTCCTAAATGCACTGGGGACTATTTTCATCCTGGAGGGACTTTTTAATTGATTTATTTTTGAGACAAGGTCTTGGTCTGTTGCCCAGGCTGGAGTGCAGTGGTGCAAGCGTGATTCACTACAGCCTTGACCTCCCAGACTCAAGCAGTCGTTCTCCCCAGCCTCCTGAGTAGCTAGGACTACACGTGCATGCCAACACACCCAGCTAATTTTAAAAACTTTTTGTAGAGAAGGTAAGGGGAGGTGGGGGAAGGCTGGGGGTGTGTCTTACTGTGTTACTCAGGCTGGTCTCAAACTCCTAGCCTCAAGCAGTCCTTCCACTTTGACCTCCCAAAGTGTTGGGATTACAGGTGTGAACCACCACACCTGGTCCCTGGCAGGATTTCCACACCTGCTCCCTGGCAGGATTTTTTAAAATTAAACCAATCAACAAGGCCTCAAACAGTCAAACCTGGTGCCTCTTTAGGGTCTGGTCCTCCCCTTTCTTGTCAGGGTTGGCATTTAGCCTAAGGGCTCCTGTCAGTGACCTGTAGAGCTAGCTGCCTGCTTTGGAAGCAAGGGGCTGTGCACAGGAAACAGCCACTGAGGCCCCCTCTGCCTCTGTGGGTCCTGCCCACTAGGCTCTAGAGAACTCACTGTGCTCCCAAAGGACCCATCCTAGCCTGGGCTAAGGTGTTCCCTTCTTCAACTCTTTGAATAATAATCAGCTTCCCTCTAATTG